TGCCTGACCAGCGGTGAGGTCAGTCCGCTGGTCAGGCCCTTCAAGTTCCCCATCGTCCTCCGGCACGACCCAATGCCCTTCTCGCAGCTAATGATAACCTTATAGTTAATACCATATTAATATATATGGTGTATATATGCATTGATACTTAGAGGGGAACCTACCTCCACAAGGTGCACTTTCCGCGGGGTGCATGGCTTTGGAATAATAAGCAATAGCAGGGTGCCATTCTCCACCAACTGCACCCCCTTCCCCGGGGCGTTATTGCCTTCAGGCCTCAACCCATGATACATATCTGACACTTTTCACTGGCGGATTCCGTATTTCTAGCACATACGACCATAGGGTGTGGAAAACAGGGCTTCCCGTCTGCTCAGCCGTACTTAAGCCAGTATTATCAACGTGGTCGGAAGTTATATGCGCCCTTGAAGGCCTGCTGCTTTACGGGTGAGAGATGCTAAACCATAGGGTGAGTGTGAGTGAGTGAAGGTGAGCTGAGTGATGCTATCCAACAGCATGGGTGAGCACGGGTGATCAGTGGGTGACAGAGTGATTCTATAACGACTAGCCTCCCTCTATCGCTAGCTTAAATATGAGGGCCTCCTCTCTGCTTAACCATTGCCTCCTTTCCTATCTACAAGCAGTTTCTTTTTTGGTAATCTATTTTCTCTCAGTTTTTCCTCCTATCCTTCCACAATGTCATGTGACACATTTTCAAATGATTTTCATCTGAGGAGAAAAGCTGAGGAGCTCTGTAAGTTTGCTAAATTAAGAGAGTTCATAACAGAGTACTAGGAAGAACAAAAAAGTAAATAAAATGAAATTAGTCATAAGAAAAGGGCTCTGGCTACCAATAAAAAATATGGTGATTCAGTGGTGTTTTAGAAAGTGTATAAATAAATATTCATTTATTAACTTGCACTTAGTTGCTGACAGTATATAGATGGATGCTTTCTCAAAATAAACCAGGTGATTAATATTTCACGGAGGAACAACCTGATCCCCTGGTTCAAATCTTGAAGTTATATTCAGAGGTATTTATTACTTTATGTAAAGGAGACTTGCCTACTTAGTAAACTATCTGTTCTAACCTCTCTTGCTTTATTACTGAATGGCAGTAAAGACCTGCAGAAAGCTGCCAGATACAGTGAAGAGTGATCTTTATAATATAACTTACCCTAGGCAAGTATGCTATGCTATACTGCTAATTCCCTATATAGTATATCTAGAACAAACTTACTCAGAAGTATGGACTTGCTACTAAACATTAAGAGAAGTATCCGGTGACTAGCAGGGATCTTGACCTACTTCTTTGATATTTATTTGAAGATGATGACCATGATTACATACATGAGCGTGCTAGATTTTAAGATGCATTCTTGCTCTCTTTATTCTCTAGTTCTGGTGCGAGAGTAGGTGTAATTGTTGAATTAAGTTCTTATAGAGGTACTAATGAGTGTCTCTACTATAGAGTTTGTCCATCACCCTACTTATCTGAGAGTCATATACTAATTAGTATATAGCATCTTTCCTTCAATCTACAATAGGACTCAAAAAATGGGGAAGTCAAGTACTGGGTCACCATAGATCCAGAGTTTCTCAAAGCCCATCGCTATGATGATGAGACTATCATGTAAGATTTTCTTCTCTGTCCCCAACGCTACACAGCTAATTGTGGTGATATAGTCCTAAAAACTGGATACCAGAGCAAGAAATACTTGGAAGAAATTTCATATTTTATGTTATAATTATAGGCATTATAGACAAGGCATTCAGGGGCATCTGCACAGCTGATAAGTTATTAGATAAAAGACCACTGAAAGGAAGAGAGTCATGGACCCTTGAATAGGAAGCGCATGTACAAACTCTACCAGTGCTTCGCATGGTGACTACTAATGGACCACACCCTACCCATGCATTGATATTTTCTTTAATACAGCACCATTTTACATTGCTTGCTTAACGGGCGTGTTTCTAACACCAGTTGAGAATCCATGGGATTAGAGGGGGTGTTACAAATGCAATTGACTGTGGGTCATTTCCTCTATTATATGAACTTCCAGCACATACTAATAGGCTTATAGCAAATGCTTCCCAAGCAGCAAGAAGCCAAGCACTAGATCATTAGAACCCTAACACCTTCCTTAAGTATCAATCCAAATTCAAGCGAGTTAACGTCCAGGCCAGCTTCTGGAACCTAAAGCCAGACTATGAATGTCTGGAAATGGAAGAAAGTATGGCTCATCATCATAACACTAATGTTCTGCAATGTCTTGATGCTGCTGCCACTGCGCAGGTTAAGAATGATAATGAAATGAAAGAGATCTACCACAGGATTAATGAGATTGCTTAAAAAATTGGAGGAAAGCCTGCTGAGTATAAAGAATTAGCACTTAAGAGGGAAAAGCTCTACATAAAAGCAGCTAAGAAGTGCTATACCAAGAAGGCTAAGTTCATTGACAACTAGTGGAGATCTTCTTATGATGAATATATTATAGGGAATGAGTTTGGTGAGTAAGATCTAACGTGCCTCTTTAACATCTGCCACAAGTATATGCCTAAGAGAGCTCATTTACGCGATAACCTCTTCACCAAAGCCTTGATTGGTAGTAAGATTGGAAGACAGTATCTACAGGATATAGTGAATATCTGCATCTCTAAAGGGAGAGTGGCATATTATCCTAGTGAATATCTAATTGATGGGAGATGTCTAGTATGCTCCAGAGAAATGTCTAGGTTCATTCAGACACCCTATATCTGTTTCAGTAGCTAAACTTCAGCAGTATTAATTTATCAAGCCAATTAAAACACATTCTACAGTGTAGAAGAAAGTCCCTGAATGCTGCACCATACCAGCAGCTCTATACAAATAGCAAGAGAGCGCATCGACCAGCAAAGCGATCTTTCCTTGAATGGTGCTACTTATGCGCTAAATGGTTTGATACAGAGGATGCTTGGACTGAGCACTGCCAATTCTATTTAGGCAGTCTACAACCTTAGTGTGGACTTTTGAGGTTCTGCTTCACACTGGTTGCTCCTAGGTTCTGTCCTTTCTGCTTGGGTGACCATACTAAAACGCCCGCGGAACGATTCCAACAATGGCAGGAGAAATCTACACTGATAAACCACATTGATAAACATTTGGCTGGCAGAGGAAAGGAGGAGGCTATTCAATGCCCTCATCCCTGCTACAAGAATAGGTTTTATAACGGTACCTTGCTCCTACAACGACATTTTTTTAACGCCCATTCTATTAAAGAACCTCGTCGAAACTGTGTATCTCAGAAGAGGAAGTGGGTTTGCGAGCTCAAGGCTTGCAATAAGCCATCTCCAAAGAGAGCAGCTTTGGATGAAGAATGTGACAAAGCATCTTGAGTCACCTAGTCGAAAGGGGCTTCCTTATCATAGCTGGTCCTGACGGTCAGGAAAGCGCCAAGAATCAGTGGTACAGTGAATCATTATCTTCTTCAGCTAGGGAATTGATAGATCTGCCAAGAGTAATAGAATACTAGACAAGATTCCCCATCCTAGGACTTAGGCTGTTTATTTCTATTACCCATTAAATAATATATTCTAAAGGATTTTGAATATCAGAGCACTCATTAGCTATTAGCTAACATCTATTCCTTTTATAGAGTTGATCTGCCCAATCAGCAGATGCCTCCCTCTTATTACTATACTTTAGGCTGTGCTTTATACTGTTTATCTTATGTAGGATAGCAGTATCCTAAACTATATATAGGTTTTGTCTGCTGCAGTAGCATTAAAGTAGACTAATATATTATTCCCACCTTTTTCTTTAGCGTCCACATGTAATGGTTAATGTATATCATTAAGGATGTAGATTAAAAACATCAGGGCCTCCTTCTACTTAGTTCTATACCAAGAGCCCAAAGACGCTTAATAATTCCTGCCAGGATGCCATTTTGGAAGATTCGATATCATCACAGACGTGAGCTTCTTGAGTCGTGGCCACAGTGGTTAGGCCTCTACTGCATGAATGTCATGCAAGCAAGGCTTACAGCAGTCTTGACAACATGGCAGATCGCGAAGGACCTCAACTTCCGGAATGGAGTCCAGGCAAAACAGCAAGGGGCAGAGCATGCCTGCCATCTAGCAGGCGTCGAGAACGACCACCGCCCTCGTGCAGTCTCTGCAGACAAAGGAAGTGAGTGTTCCCTCTGGGAAACTAATCTCTTGGTTTGCATAGCAACAGCTTATTCATGTTCGTCGCAGGATCCGGTGTGACCGACAGCAGCCATGCGGGAATTGCGCAGACCGAGGCTGAGGCCTTTCTTGTACTTACATTCTAAAGCCGATCGATACTCACCAGCGACGGCCGAATGTTCAAGAGAGGATTCAGTAATTAGAAAAATCTCGTGGTCAGCCTGATGCAAGCCACGACAACGAGTAACTCCAATCAACCCCCTCCGGCTGTTTCGGTACATCACGATACTCCCATAACTTCGACCGATCGATCATTTGCTGCTTCTCCATATGCAGAGCTCTCCAAAGGCAACTCATCACCATCTGATTGCGGCAGCTTGCAATTGACTCAATCGAGTACCAACTATGTCAACAGCGTTCTTTGGCCGCTGTCCTTGATGGGATCGCTGATCTGAAAATTCATCTCGACGAGGAAGGAGAAGTGCAAGATCATACCCCCGCTGGATGAGCTCGCTTTTGCACAGCGGGGCGGTCCTCGGCTTTTTACGGGTGTACAATTCTTCTGACGAAGGAAGAAATCCTGGCGACAATTCCAGAACGGCCGGTTGTCAATCGATTGATTTCAGACTATTTCAACTCGTTCAATATGTCCCCAGGTTAGCACACTCCAGACATGATTGATAAGCTTTGGACTGATGAAATATCAAGCGGTACTCCACAGTGTCGAGTTTTTGAAGGAGGTATTGGAACCTCTTCCCAACTAACATGCTCGCGACTGACAGCTAAATACAGTATGAAAGATTCTGGGAAAACCCATCGGAAACGCCAGTTATATGGCTGGGCCTCCTGTTCACTATAATGTGACTCGCAACACAGTTACAGAAATTCAGGTTAGATCCGGGGATCCAAATGCCCGTATCCTTGTCACGAGAGCATGACCTTCAATGTAAAGTTGATTTTTTCTGTCAGAGGATTGTGCAACGCCTTATACTGGGAGAGTATGCCAAAGGGATCATCCATTGCGAACAGGCATTTCCATCTCGATGTTTCTTCTGATGCTATCCTCTGGAGTCTCGACCCCTACCTGCAAGTGCACTTGAGTCTCCATCACTCCGGGCAAACCCGAGTAATCATTGAGCAAGGGTTAACGCCGTGGGACTGGTAGCTTTGCTCTACAGAAACTGGCAGAAATTGGACTTGCGGTCATCGGTATGTTTACTTCGAAAAGCTGGGTCATTGATCCATATTGATATCCTTGAGTATTTGAGTATGACCGTCATTAGCTAATCCTACTGAGCTAATATCTGGAGGACCATTAGCTGGCAAGGTGTCACAAGGGGCCCCCAGTCTTTCAGACATGTTTGCCTAGGCAAGAAAACCATCTGATCGCTCCGATAGCTGCGTGTAGGTCTCGTCAAATGTTTCGTCTTCGCCGACACAGATCCTATATGTAATCCTAGCATACCCTTCCGCTTTCAGTACTAGGTCAGGGGCTACCTGTCGATAAGCGCGGGAAAGACTCATCCAACACCCGACAAGACCATCCGTCATAAATCCCCATTGCTTGACCAGCAGTGGTGTACCCGAGGTATGGGGAAGATGCCCGCCTTCAACAACGTAGCCCAGCGATTCCAGAGTTTTCAGTGCGAACTCTATAGTCTTCTGTGGCTGCTCATGCGTTGCGTAGAGCATTGCAAGATTCAAATACGGTTTCCAAAGGCTGAGACGAGGAACCTCAGAGGCTGGCTGTCGATATGTTTCCTCAAGCTTGTAGAGTATGGCCTCAATTTTAGTTGTGCTTGGCTTCTTGCGGCATTGGAAATCTTTCACTAAACCGGCCGTGAGTTTCTTTCTCGTTGTCAAAATGCTGTTCTCAGTATTTTGGGCATCTTGGCATATTATGCAGGTACACCTGAAGCCCCAGTGCCGCAGATCCATCTGTTTCTCTTTGAAATCGTTGTTCAGGGGTGATTGATACCAGAACGTGATTTCTGTGTCCGCAGCGAGATCTTGTGTGGCACGAACAACCATCATATCGCCAATAAATAAACGCCGAGCGTTGCTGCAGCATGAATAATTGATGTAGGATGCCAGGGGCCAAACGCCACAGGAATAGAATTGCTGCTCGTCATTGTCCAGTTGCGCCTCGCCTGTCATGGCACGTTTATGAGACTCGCGAGACAAGAGAGGACAGCCAAAGCCATTCAATGCCACAATACGCTCAACAAGGAACCTGGGTATATTAGCGTGGTCGATATTCGTCTAAAGTAGGCCGCTTACGTATCCACAATAGGGGTGTCGTCTACTTCTGACACAGCAACGGGCTTGTATGAGTCGTGATAAAGATCAGTGAAAGCTGGCATTATGGATGGATTCTTATAAAGCTTTTGCACGATCAGCGTAATGAGCTCCGCCTGAGTGCCCATGGTCATTTCGTCTGTTTGTGGGTTGATCAAAAGGGCGATGCCCTTCCTGGGCTCGTCGGCGTCATGGAAGGCATGCGCAAAGGCTTTCTCGCAAAAGAGAAGATCACCAGCTTTGACTGCTTCTGTTGTGAATAAACCTCGTCCGCGGGTCTCACAGCCACAGGACCAACATAGGTCGCATGATCAAGAACTGGTGGGCGACGTTTTTTCGCCTCGAGCTGCAGTCGTTTGAACGGATACTTGCCGCTCTCCTGTTCCGCGAGTCGCGCAATGGCGCGATTGAACTCGCTCTTAGCGGGAGCATTGCTCGGGAATTCCTTGGCAAGCACTTGGTGAGCGTCACAAGATTCACGAAATCTCTGCAGATAGTAGAGAGCCTGAGCTTTGCGGAAAAGCACTTTCTCGGAGGGCTTGGAGCCTGTGGAGACTATCTTGAGATCGCGGAGGGCCACGTCAAATTGATGAGTCTTGAGAAATGTGAGAGCACGATTCAGTTTGATAGTAATGGCTTCGTCAAGAGTAGGGGAAGAGCCCAAAGCCTTGGAGTAGCTATCATCCGTGGTCAGCTTCGGTCACTATAGAACCACCCATCCGCGGCTTACCAGTCAACCGCGACATGATAGTTAGCTTTGTTAAAACAATCGTTACCCTTCAGCTTCCAATAGTTGGCAGAGGCATCGTTTTCCATGAGCTGTCGTCTCCACGATGATGGTATTAGAGTGTCATGATCTGGGATAAACCTAACGTCGGGAAGATGGTCAACACGGATGCCATAGTCTCCATCGGACATGGCCTTCAAATAAGGCTCCTTCACGATTATCACTGTCCCTTCGATAAGACGGCCCTGGGCTGAGAGTCCTTCTTCTTGGTTGTACAGTTGCAGCATGAGAACATCTCCTTCCTCATCCTCCACAATAACCATGACCGCGGTCATTGTGTCTGGCGGAGTGACTGCCCTTAGTAGAATGTAAGATCCACGATGATGGGTTTCGAGAGTGAGGTCTTTTATCACGACTTTCTTCAGACTCCTTAAAGGAGCGGTGCAGGGTGCGTAGGCTGGAGGTACAAAAGACGAACGGATGGTTTTGGAGTCGACAGTTGCATTACTGGACATCATGCGTCGAAACATGAACTGCATTATAATCTCATCGCGAGACTTCGTTGTCTTGGGGCGCTGCCCTTTGCGAGATTGGGCATTCTGGAGAGTTTGCTTCTGCCGGCGCAGGTACTGCCAGTACTCTCTATCTTCAGAGACGTCGTGGGTATCCATATTGCACTGTGAAACTGCAGGAGTTTGACTTCTATCCCTATTTGGATGCTCAGCCCATGAAACAAGAGATTGGGGGCCGTCTGAGGATGGGAATAACTCAGCGTAAGTAAGAGAAGACACTGTATGCGTTGTCAAAAGCGGGTGTTAGGAGACGATCTGCGAGTGAAAAGGGCCGGACACCACGCTTTTAACACCCGCACGTCCGGCTGAGCCCCGCCTTTGCGCCATTCGAATTGCCTAAAAATGTTCTACTTCCCTACGTAGCCTTCCTCTCCTCTCTGAAAATGGAAGAGCCTAAATCAATCTAATCATCTAGCTTCGGTCTACCTCTGAGCACTCTAACACCCTTGAATCCGTTCTGCAAAGTCTCATATCTTCAGAACGATTCTGCTCCTTAGCGGAGCGCTTACCAAGGCGATGACCGATGAACGATCTGTTAGAGTGGGTAGAAACGGGTCTTCACAAGGGATTCAGCGAAGGCAAAGAAGGCAAGTAAACTTGCAGAACACAAGTCTGCCAATGTGCCTCCCAAATGAGTAGTTATGGGAAACTACCTGACAAGTCCCGTGGCTATCGACACCCCTTAGAACAGGTCTCCTACTCTAACCATTTTGAGTGTCGACATCTACGGTCTCGATAGGCAAGCAGTCAACCACAGATCTTTCCATTATAATCCCCGCTCTTCCGGAGAAGTCATCCCCAAAACAGGGAAGAACAATATAATAATAGGGCGCATCGAGAGAAACTGGAACTGATAGCGGAATTGGGCCTCAAACACATGGAAGATAAGAAAGCCAAAGTCAAACTGACAATTCTAGGCCATTTGGTCGATGTGCAGGATGGGGTGGGCAAGATTGGCGAGGCTGTGCATTGGGCCCGAAACTTCATTAGAGACGAGATCAAGGATGTGCCGTACGCCCAGCGGTGATGGCAGGGATCTCACTCATCCATAGAACCCGGCCGCTATCGACGCTGCTAACAGGGAGGGTCTTGCATATGACACGTCACAACTGCACTACTACGTTGAGACGGAGTCACTTCTCTTACCTAACGACATGGAGCCTAGCTTGAAGGCTGACCTGACGAAGCGCGATACAGACCTATATAAGCTCGTCATTGACTTCTAAGTGCAGAGCGTCATACGGTTCTAAGTGTATGCTATCATCTGGACTCTGAGCACGGGGCTTAGTAAGGGAAACACTTAGGGTTTATTGAATAATATAATATCTCTGTTCCTATTGATGAAAGGATAGTAAAAGGTTTGTGTTAGCTAAAGGTTGCACCACCTTAAATATTCATCAATTCATGCTCACTATATGCTTAATATTTACAGAGAACCATGAACACTCAGTTCTTTCACTCTGATATTATATAAATATTGATTTCTTTAAATAATGTGTTATTGTGGTGTACACATATAGGATGCCTAGAGAAAGTGAAAATAAGTACAAGTATCATATTACATGAACCTTCTTAGTTTGTCTCTCCTTTATTTACACTGCATATACACAACATTCACATAAAAGCAACTTAGAGCTCACTAATACTCTATGAATATCAAGCATAAAGTAAGCATGAATCTGTAGATGTCAAGGATGGTCAGTGCTGGCAGGTGTACAATTCAATTTTGACGCTATAAAAAGTCCTTCGCATATCGGAGATGGTTGAAACTGTATGGTATCAAGGGTGTAGGTTCTAGACCTTGCATATGCTAAACACGTGTACGGAGTAGTACACGGACACCCAGCAAGTAGGCCTGAGCCCTACGAAGGGATTACTGCCCGCCTATGCAGGCTATGTATGATGATGTCTCATCCAGAAGGAATCTTGTTGCCCTTCCTTCCAACCAATCACAATAACAACGCATTCTTAGGAAAGGTACCCTGACACCGGGCTAATATAAGTCTGCGGGAGATTAGCATCCTGCAGAATCGACATAGTTCAGGCATGTTATTTCCGAATCTTGGTCTCCGAAATAGAATGTATTTTAGTTTGACTATTCCGTTTCCTTTTGTTCTGTAGTGGAAGGGATCTGCAGTAATGGTACCTCTTTATTTTAAGTTCAGTACAAGGACCATGACCAGTCCGACTCGGCAATGCGCGCCAAATCTGGCGTGGCTCCAGCTAAAGTTGGGGAGAGTGCTATCTACAATCCGTGGCTGGGCAAACAGAGGCTATATATTGGTAATGAAACATGATATATAGGTTTAGAGCAGAGGCTTAGTATCCCCTACAGGTCCTTGATCCAGAACTATACTTCCAAGTTTAACCATCAACATGTTGTCCATTTCCACCATAGTTAATTATATACTGGCCTTTACATTAACACTGCGCACAGAAACAGTATGTATTTATACACGATCTTAAATATGCAGCCACAGGCTGATAGCAAGAACAGCCTCAGATATTATGCAAATCTGCTGATGCAGATATCAATGGGTCCCACCTCAAGATAATCATGTCCTTCCTAGAGGGACACGGCTTCCAACATATGTACCCAGAAGGATGCAGCAACGTAGTAACATTGCAAAGAACCACAATCTACCTGCAAAACATGGTAGGCTACTAATTCTTCTGTCAGGATGATACCCTGATGCGGCTTACAGGCTTCCACTCCAAAATCTGTCCATACTGATGAGATGTTGGAACAACTGGCTCCAGCTCTCAGGGCCTGCAGTGCTAAGAGTAGCATGTCTATCATAACAGGATCCATTATAGTTCATGTGGCAGATCCGGTGAGCCTCATCCCCCTGTGTTTCTCTTTGTATCATACATCTAATACAGCCGAGCTTAGTTCCAAAAATATGTCAGTCTGTGATAGCATTACATTTTAGATATTGGCGAATGTGCCCTGATTGCAAAAGGGGCATTTGAATTCTGCAGGATCAATCATATGTGTTGTCCGTTGTCTTCATCCGTGGCTTTGAAGGGCACAATAATTGGACCAGTGTCTTATCCAGTTTAATGAATGCCTAGAGTGGAAAACGTCTATTCACCCTCAAAAATGTGGCCATATATGAGCTACTACGTCTGTTCTATTACCCTTGTGGGTTATAACAGCATGGTATAACTTGCACAATGCATCTCTTCTACCATAGGCCCAGTTTGTTGTGATGATATTACAGGTTGGCCTCCTGGTCCCAAAACTATTACCACTAGGTCGAACCCAACAGTCATTTGCATTCAATCTAGGTGAGGAATTTCTTTGTGACAGTAAATTATAAGCAATCAAAGGTTTTACAAGCATGTACTGTCAAATAATAAGGCTACGGCTGTACAGGAAAAGACTAAGAAAGTAATACTATAGAATGATGCCCAGTTGCTATAATCCAGATCTTAAAAAGTATAACCTCAAATAACTCACTGGGAGGCTGTTAATCACGGGCCTGCTAGGCAGAAATAATAAACATGGTTGGATGAGTGGTTTCGGAATATTTTCAGAAGTCTCTCCTGCCAACCAAAGAACTTTCCCAAGAGGACCATGCAATCAACTTCATGTAATCACCTTCTCATGCTCTCTTCGGTACTATTGTACCCTGCGCCTACATAATCCATAGAAATGGAAGACACAGGGAGTTTGCAGGCACAGTACCACCATGTCAAAAACACAGGCAGCAGGCGCCCAACACTGAAATAAGAGAAGCTCCCAAAGAAAAAGTGCTCCCTAGCCATGTTGCGGCCAGCATATATGGCCTGAGTTGAGAATGAACCCCAATATCACTGAGAAAGGTTTGGATGCCTCCAGATATCAAGCTATACAGAATCATCACTGTAACTGATGCAGTGATAGTGGATATTAAAGCAACCTGCCAGCAGATTAGTCTTCTAGTCCTTTATCCCTTAGGTAATTGGCTCACAAGCAAGCAGATAAGCGTTGGGGCTGCCCCCCATTTGAACATAATTGTAAAGATCTCCACCATGACAGTCAGGATGGTTGTGGCCATTCCAATGATATATGCTGCAATGGCCAATCTGGAAGGTTTTAAGAGTCTAGAAAGCACAGCTTTACTTGCCTCTGGCAGTAGCAAAGCTGCACCTGGGGTGTTGGACTCCAATATTGCCACTAAGTTGAAAGAAAACAACAACATGGGTGTGGAGCAACTTGAATACTTAGATGCACTTTCCTCACCACTATAATATCCCCAGAGGCCCACTGCATAATAGTCAGGTATAGTTAACTGAACCTTGCTCCATAAGTCTGATAGACTGCTGCTGGCATGGGTTAATACATCATGGGCTAAGTCTGCGAGATTAGACGCCTGGTCAGACAGACTGAAGGACTGAACGATTCTTTGTTGCATTAAGCTTGTCTAATCTATCTGAAGGTTGCTATCTGTCAGTAATTAGCTTTAAGGATTGGTGCACTTCCTTACCTTTAGGAAGAATAGATCTCAGGGTGATGAGGTAGATCTACATCCCTTAAATATGATAGCCAAACATATCAAGGCGGCCGCGGATAATGCTAAGGGGATTAGCTTTAAACTGTTTTGTAACATTATGAAATAGGTGAATAATAGATGCAATTAAACAGCCGGTGCAATCACCATCAGAGGATGGATGTCCTTTATATACCTCTGTTTTTACTAAGTACTGCCGCGCTGATTGTGGACAGCGGATGGAGCAGCAGTTCAGATAACGCCATGGTCTCTAGCACTCATGGAAGGATATCATTTTGATAGGGTCGGCCTAAATATAAGCTCTATGAGGGCCGGCCTTCTTGAACCAATAGCTACCAATAGCTACCAACTAGCATGTGGCCGCGCCAAAAGCAGCGTGCACAAAAAGTCCATTAAAAGGGATCCTTTTTCTGTAGCACCACATATAGGGACTGTATTATGCACTACTATAAAGAAGATATATACTCAATGTTGTTGGTTCAGTTTTCCAAAACCTAAAATGAGGCTACCAACATTGATCGCAGCTGTTGTGGTTTACGTTCTGGTGATGGCTCGCCAAGATTAATGGAGAGATTCTTATCCAGTATGTTATATGGCTGTTTGACTCTGTGCTTTGCACTTACACATTTTCAGGATTATTATGACCATGACCAACTAAGACTTAGAGCTTGGACCAAAAGCAACTGCTAAGGGGAAATAGGCTTCAGCACATTTAATAATATCAGTTTTGCGTGAAATATCTCTAACAAATTTGTATCCCATAGTTTTGAAATCTCCCAACCACTGCAAGGTCAGGAGCAGCTGGATATTTCTGTGGCACGCGAATTAGAAACCTGGTTCTCTAATAAGTATCAGCTGTCTTTCAACAGTTCATCATGTGATCATTTCTAACAAAGCTATTTTGCTCTTAATGGGAGCACAGGTTATCATAATACACCTAACTTTACCTGCCATCAGTTATGGATCAATCCTGGCCTCTAAACAAAGTCAATGTTCTCGCAGGGAGATATATATAACTATCTAAAGTACTGCATCTTCTATTTAGGTAATATATAATATGTAAGACCACTTGTTACTCATATCTTTAGTATGGATACTGAAACTCCAGGCAGGAGCCACTAAACACTTTTGATCTGTCTGCTGTACTTAATTTCTAAGTTAAAATAGAAGGGTGGCTCTTGCACATCTTTCTGAAGTCACAGTTTCTAATCTCTATTGTCATGGATATAAGCCGGGTTCTGGTTACAGACATACAGATATAAGATCAGAAGTTACCCCGTCTCTATCTGGCCGGCTGAGCCTTGAATGGCAACAGACACCTGCGAGAGCTTGGAGAGCTTGGAGCCCCTGAATGTGTTTCTTTATAATACCTGCAGCCATAACATAAAATTTGAAGTCCCTTCGAGGTATAACTTGATCTGGTATCTGGTTTCTGCAACTATATCACTAAAAGAGTTTGCATATGCAGATACCCTGGGTAGTGCTTCTAGAACATACATGTAGTCGTACCATACATACATTGCTTCCTTGGACTAGAACATCAACCATCTGATGGAAAAGTGCAGAAGTACGAAGCCAGCTAATATGGACGGGTACCCATTTATAGTCTGCTGAGTCTCAGTGATCTATGGGCAAATAATCATTTGCTTTAGAACTGGGCACGATCTTTATGCATCTTCATAGTTGTTAGAGGAATCTCACCAAGGCATCTTAATGCAGAGGTAACAGAA